GTTGAGGCAACTTTTCCGGGGCATCGCCGACGCCACATTAAAGGTGCGACCACGCCCACCAGTTGCTCTATTCGGATGGCAATTAGGAAACACATCATTACAAGTGTCAACAGAAGGGCCAAAAGGTTAATTGCGTCTGGAAGCAGCAGCAGTAGCAGCAAGGGCAGCAGTCCTCGTCAAACAAAGTATCAAAGTTGTCTCTCTCTCTCTCTCCCTGCCATCTTCTGCTCACTTTGATTGTTCCTCGTGTTTTGTTTTTTGTTGTGGGGTTTTTATGTGCTCGACGACAGAAGTGGGGTTAAAGGCAACAGCAAAACTAGATGACAGCTCATAAACTTGCAGGGTGGCGCCAAGACGTCGACTGTGGCTGGCGCGGCACGGGGGGCATGGGCGCTGTGGCTTTATGGCTCAGGAAAAGCTTTGCTTCACACCTCGTTGTGGAATGCGCAAGGCTTTCTTCCTGCATTATCACCAGGGGAGCAATTTAACCCTTTATTACGTACCTGTGTAAATTTTTCATTTTACCCCAGACTTGGGCTAGATTGCAGTTTCTTGGAAAAATAACTTGAATGTTGCTCAAAACTGGAACTTCCTTGGGGCAAATTGACAATCAAGTTTAAATGGGAGTTTTTGTTGAGTTTTAGATTCATAACTGAGGATTTGCCTTAGCTTAAGCAGAGGACTTGCTGAGTAGTCAATCTTGGGAGGATTCGAAAGCGTTGGCTATTGGATAAAACTGTTGAACAGAGAAGAGTAACTCCACTTCGTTGAGTGTATGTTCAGGAAAATAACCGTGCACCGTACACAGTGTGTTTTTCCCCTCTTGAAAATATTTTCTGGCTAAAATTTGTGTGTGCAATTAAATTTTCTCCGTCCCCCAACGACAACAGCGGCAGCAGCCGCAACAAATGTCATGCGAAAAAACAACTTTCAAGGCTGTGGCATAATTATGCGAAGGACCCACAGCACTTCCTGCAGCCACATCTGCAACCCTTTTTTCGGGAATTAGAGGACGAATGTGTTTATGTGTTGTTGCTTCATGCTTCACTCGCATGCATGAAAATGGAAATGCTTTTGAGGAATTTTAATATTGCCAGGCAGCCCAGGCGGGCAGGCACTTTTTTCGCTGGCTATTTTCGGTCAATGCATATTTATGTCTGCTTTTAATTAAAATGCGAGAATTTAAATTATGCTGCAGGTTGAACGTGTCTACAACTTTGCTCTCATTAGCATCTGGAGACAGATACATGATGCACGATAAATGCCAGAGATTCGAGATACTCATACGCCCGAGTGGCGCTTGAAAGTGTGGCAATTATCAGCTAAAGTGTTTGCCCCATCAAAGTGCTTATCTTTTAGATAAAGCTATATGCTTGTGTGTATCTTTAAGTTAAACAAAGTGCTCAGAATGTCTTTAGAATAGTTGTGGCTAAGTGTTCTGTGGTTGTGTAGCTGTTAAATAAAGTTATTTTCAAGATTTTGTGTGCGAATGGGTTTTGTGGGTTTTGCTTTCTGGCGTTCTGCACTCTGTGAAACCCCACATACCCCTTGGACCCTCCAGTAGAGTATCAGAATACCTTTGTATCCACACAGGCGGCCTGCATTTAATTAAAAAAATGTTTTTTATATGTAAAACTTAATTAAAATCATGTAACCTTTTATGCCTTCATTCACTTATGCTCTCTCGTTGATATTTCTCTTTGCAGCCGCGTGACTTTGCCATTGACTGTGGAAGAGGTAAGTGAGGAGAGCCGCAAGGGTCGTAACCCCTCCATCTCACAGAGTTAATGAAACTTTTCTTCTTTTGTGTGTCTGTGTTTCCAGTATCAAGTTGCACAATTATTCTCAGTGGCCGAGGCGTCAAAGGAGAACACAGGCGGCGGCGAGGGCATTGAGGTATTAAAGAATGAGCCATTCGACAACGTTCCACTGCTGGGTGAGTGCAAGTTAATCCCGATAGCTGCATCTGTTGATCATTTAATAATTCATGCTCTTCTTTGCAGGTGGCAAATACACTTCAGGTCAATATACATATAAGATCTATCATCTGCAATCAAAAGTTCCAGCGTACATAAGACTATTGGCACCCAAGGGCTCTCTGGAGATACACGAGGAGGCATGGAATGCTTATCCCTATTGTCGAACGATTATCACGGTAAATGGAGTGATGGGGGAATGTAAAGGAGGATATTTTTAGAGGATTGGGGGATATCATTAGATTGATGCCAACAAATCTGTTTTATTTATACGAATTTCTAGAATCCCAAATTCATGAAAGATGCCTTTAAAATAATCATCGACACCCTGCATGTCGGCGATGCGGGCGATTCAGAGAATGTAAGTGTCGGATCCCAGACAAAACACAACTAATTTTTGTTCTTTTCTTTTATTTTTACTTTCATTATACCCATACGCGTGCATATTACTATTAATATAACGACTAACATCAATCAAATCAAATCAAATCAAATCAATCGATCGTCATGCAATTCCCATTAACGTTTTCCTTTGGCTTGGTTTATGCTTTTGTGATCTGTACTGTTTATGTTCTTCTGTTAAAAAGAATCCTGGCTATATGAACAAAAACTTTCTTATAACTATTGAATCGAATCATTTTAACAATGACCTTGGCGATTTACCGAATGTGAGTGTTGTGCGGTTGTCATGGCCTTTAAATGATTTATATATTTGTATATTTTTCTTGTGTTGTTTGTTGCTTTTGTTTGTTTACCTATCCATGTGCATGTGTCTCTCGTTTGTATCTAGAAACGCTTTCAATGTCTCCAATACAATGAATATGAAACTATCTTAAGATCTCTCTGTTTTGTTCTGCTTGCTTTCCACTTTGATCTCCCTGCAGGTGCACGAACTGACGCCGGATAAGCTGAAAGCACGCGAGATAGTGCACATTGACATTGCCAATGATCCGATATTGCCTGCAGATTTCAAGTCCGAAGAGGATCCCACCACGTAAGACTGCTTTCCTTTATTTTGCACACAATTTTAATTCGCCTTTCTCTTTCCAGCTACCAGTCAAAGAAGACGGGACGTGGCCCTCTGGTTGGTGCCGACTGGAAAAAGCGTGTGGATCCCGTGATGACCTGCTACAAGCTGGTGACATGCGAGTTCAAATGGTTCGGCCTGCAGACAAGAGTAGAGAATTTTATACAAAAGTCAGAGCGACGCCTTTTCACAAACTTCCATCGGTAAAGGATCGTTAAATGAAAATACACGCTGAAGTATTCATTAATTAATTGTATTTTGTGTGTGTTTTATAGCCAAGTTTTCTGTTCAACCGATCGCTGGTACGGTCTAACAATGGAGGACATTCGCGCCATCGAGGAGCAGGTCAAGGAAGAGCTGGACAAGGCGCGGCAGGTGGGCGAAGTGCGGGGCATGCGTGCGGATGCCGATTAAATATATTAGTAGTAGAAAATTGTAAAACAAAATAACAAATGTGTATTGTAAAAAGGAGTAAAACAACAAAAACTAAAAGGCAAAGCAAAATACAAAATGAAGATACAAAATTGCATAAATAAATGTACGTTATAAAAACAAAAACAAAACTGGAAAAAAAAACACCAACTGCAAAACTGAAAATCGAAAAGCAAAAGCATTAACGAAATGAAAGCAATTTGAATGCGTGGCTTGCATCAACAACAACAAAAAGAACACCAAGTGTATGACAAGAAAGTATAAAAAATATTAAAAATAAAAGTTTAGTTACATATAAAATAGAGCACCCGACAAAAACAAACATTTGCAGGATCGAACCCAAGCTGCACCGTATGTAAAATGTTTTCACGGAAGGGACTCACGCACCTTTCTGTCTCCCAATTCGTTTTTCCTTCTCCTTGTAATGGAATTCAATATGGAAGTTGATTTAAGTTGCATTTTGTATAAATTTTGAGAATAAAACCAAATGACAGATTAATGTAAAAAGTTAAACACAAAAGCCACACACCAACCACACCACATTCGAAAGGAACGAATATAAATGAGAATCGAAAGGGAAGGAAATCAATCCAGGGAGAGCCTGGAGCGGGTTCGCAGAGCAGAGCATTTTGAACATGCGATTTCTATAGACATAAAGACAAAGAGAGAGAGAGAGAGACAGAGAAGAGATTAGATTGTTGAGATTGTCTCAAAAGATATGTACATGCCATGGAAGGCAGGGTTTATTTGCATTCATGGTTAATGCATCCTGTGGTCTGCATTTGATTTGCATTTCAAAAAGTCAATGTAACAATCTACCGAGAATGAGAAGGTGGAGGTGGAGGAAGCGGAGTAAAGGTCGAGGCTCTGTGGTGTTTTGGGGTCAAATATGGGCAGAGCAAACACACTTACTTGCCTTTCATTTGGGTTGACTCAAGGATCGTGATAGCCAATAGTTTTCTTCGAGCATAAACAAACACTAGAAAACTGCCAATATCTACTCGATAAAAATGCCTAAAATTATATTAATAAAAGAGAACCACCTTAGACAAACACACAGAATCCAATCCAATCAAATTCCTACTCTGCACAGGACACAAATCTCGCGTATCTCGAAATGCTTCAAAGAACTTTTTACCATCTGCCGCTACATTTTCTGCTCAAAAAGAGGAAGAAGGAAGATAACCGTGTATATCTATATATTTATCTATGAAACGTCCATTTTAAAACTAAAAATCTATACCGAAAAACAGACAGAAATATCAAGTAATACAAAGCTTTTTAAATGATCTTAAAGCACACTTACAGACACACACACACACACACACAAAGATTAAATACAAAATGGATATACATGAACCTCATAAGCTTAAAGCATTCAGACAGCAATCATCAGATGGAAATGGAACAGGCATCAAGAGGATTTAAGTGGGGGAATATATATTGCATACTCCATTTAAGAGGGAGCAGCTTTTATTTTTATATCACTCAACACTCAAACAGACAGACAGAAAGAGACACAGATACGATAGCCACTCAGATATATACAAAATAAATACATATATATATAGTGAATGCATCAGCATATGTACATACATACACTTGAATCGAGGAGTACTTTAAAAATAATAATAGCAAAAAGCGAAATGCGTTTACGAGATATATACAATTAATATACATACAATATATATTCGATTCCATAACGTATACAAATTGCCTCAAATTGTTATTTGCTGTGTGAGTTCTCGTTCATTAGTTGGTTCGTTGGTTATTGATTGATTGGTTGATTGAATCATTATAGCACTTATCTACAGTACGTATGTGTGCGTTTTTGAATAACTCTCCTCTCTACTCAATGTGTGTGTGCATTCTCTAAATGTGTTTACTAACGTGCTAAAAAATCCTCGGCCGGTTCGAGGTTAAATCTTTAAAACTCCAAACTTGATTTGTAGCAACAACAACAAAACTGTCGAGGGACTCAAATTTCAAAACAATAACTCCTTTATAGGTCCCATCCAGCATTCATCATGTAACCAGTACGTATATCAAGAATAAACTTCATTTATATGGCACCACCCTCACCAGCACACCCCACCCATACCCTCACATCTACTAGATCGAACGAATACCAGAATTGTAGGCATTAAAATAAAATATACACCACAATTTAGACAAATTATAAGGAAATATAATTAATACATTCTCATTGCATAAAAAATCCAATTCGATTTCAATATTTGAAATAAATTCGCGTTCAATTTTTCTCGAGCTAAAGCTAACAAAAAAATATAAATACAGAAACTAAATTAAAACCCTATTTAATTAATGCTGTTAATTAACGTATAATTTGATAACGTAACACAAATGATAATAATAATTATACATATATACAACATAAATGATTTTTGACATAAGCTGAACAAAATACAACAACAAACAAATTGATAATTGATACATGAGTAAAACCCAAGTTATAAGCTGTTAAAAATACAAAATATAAAACAAAAAACCCAAATAAAAACGAAAAAACGAAAAAACCATACAAATTGTATTGTAGAAATTATTTTAATTGATGAAAATAAAGCATTATTAATTATATATAATATATACAGACACACGAGCGGACAATTTACTATTTATTCGTATACGTTGGTGAGGAGTAGGACATACATTTATGTGTGCAGAGGTATTTTGAACATTGATAAAATAATAATAATAGTAGATATCGTCTAGTAGTTGGCCAGCCAGAAGAACTGGCGCACTTCCTCCTCGTTGGAGGGCCGGCAATGTGGCGGCGGTGTGATCAGAGAGTTTCGAAGCGAAGTCATGGCCATCATGTTGCGCTTGACGGCCTTCGACAGATCTATTACACGCTCTGGGTAATGCACTCCAACCAGGCACTCGTACTGCACCTGCTGCTCTGCCGACAAGCGCCAGGGTTCGTGGCTAAAAAGGGAATCGAATGGGGAACACAGCTACCCAGCTTCAAAGTTCATCAGTCTACTCACATAAATTCCCTGGGTAAGTTCTTCAACTCCGGTACATATCGCCGAATGTACACCCCCTCCGGGTCGAGTCGCTTGGCAAGCGCCACAGGACAGGTGACCAAAGAAGAGTCCAGCAGGCGCTCAAAGGCCGAACTCGAGACCCACATCCAGTTGCCAGCACACACCGACCAATCCGCATCGAGCAGATACTTGAGAAAGTGCTGGAGCCCGGGCTCCCAGCTCTGCCAGAGCCCGCCCCGGGTGAGGAAGGTGGCCACCGTGTTGCGGAGCGTGTGATGTAGCCAGCCCTCGGCGAGCAGCTGTCGCATGGCCCCATCGATGAGGGGGAAGCCCGTCTGTCCCAGGCGCCAGCGCTGCAGTAGATTTTTATCGGGCTTGGCCCAGGGGATGCTCAGGCAGATCTCGTTGCCCTCCATGCGGTCATAGTTGGGATTATTAACCGACATCGTGTAAAAGTACTCCCGCCAGATGAGCTGCCCGGTGATGTGTGCGCCGCCAGCCATTTGAACGCCACGTACACAGGCCGCCAGCTGAACATTCTCGAAGAGATCGTGGACGCTCCAGTAGAAGCGGCGCACCGAGAGGCAGCCGAAGCGCAGATGGGCGCTCATTGACTTGGGCGCCTCCTGGATATTGGGAATCGCCTGGTTGGGCAGATAGTAGCCCCGCTCGAAGGCGTTCCTCTCCACCTTCAATCGCTCCTCGAGTAGTGCGAGGGCCTGGGTCTCTCCACCCCGCCAATTGATCTTCGCCAGGAAGCCCATGTTGTCGCTGTAGATGTTAAAGTGCTCCGGATTGGGAATCTTATCGAAGCAGCCCAGATGTTGCCTCAGTTCCGGCGCCAGTTGAATGAAGGTGGCATCATCGATGTGCGCGTCGACTGCAGGTCGCGGCGGCACTCCGATAATCTGCACAGTGTGCTGCAAAGACAAAGGACTTTAACCATAGGGAATCAAAGCACCAAAGGACCAAACACTCACTAGAAACATTTGATAGGTCAAAGGGGGTATGCCGCCGTTGGTCTCGATAACGAGACGCGGATCCCACAGCGTGTGCGACACCTTCTCCACGTACTCAATGCCCAACTCGCGGCACATCAGCCTGGCAGCCTCATCCCGCTCGTTCCAGATGGGCTCGCAGTCCAGTTCGGCGCAAATCTTGTGCAGACGCACTTGCTCGTGCAGCCTGCGGAAGATGAGCGTCGGCTCACCCTCAAAGACAAACAGTCTACCGCGTCCCTCAGTGGCCGCTTGCAGCTGCTCATCGATGTCTTGCAGAGAGTCCAGCAGGAAGCGCATGCGGTTGTAGCCGACGCTTTTGGTGCCTTGGTGTCAAGATAGGGGAGAAGTAATCATATTTGTGAGTATTTGTTTTCATATTTTACTCTCTCTCAATCTCGCTCTCATGTCTTTTGAAGATCAAACAATTTTCATTCTTGTTCTCTTGCTCTCATCAATTCAATAGAACGATCTTCTTTTGCTCAGTGTTGCTTTAATTCATACATGCAGCTTTTCTGCACACACACACATGCTGACAATTGCTGTAATTAATTCTCACTCTCTGCTTACGCAAATGCTAGCGCAAAGCTCCCCTCTTATCGGTCAAATTAGTAGCTCTCTCTCTCTCTCTCTCTCTCTGTCTTTCTTTGTCGCTGGCGCTCCCACTAAGCTGCAAGCCGCTCTAAAGTGCATGCTATTCAGCAGCTGTGCTTTCCGTTTGCTTTCTCGCTTCCTCCTAGCGTGTTCTTTGCAAAATTCTCTCTATTTACTTAACCACTTTACCGCTCTCCCATTTTACAATTCTGCCAGCGCTAGCCACAAATCGCATTAGAACGCGCTGTTTGTTTTGCTACGCCACGCTTCTTCCCTGCAGCACCTTCGCCCTCCTCTAACCAACAACCAGCAAAAATGCATTTGCTGAGCTTTCCCTCCGCCACAGAGGGGAGGGGTTGGCGGGGCGAAAGTTGATGCGAAAATAAAAATGTGATAACCGCAATGCAAGGCGGAATAGAATAAAAACGATATTAGCTCATAGACGGAGGCAGCGTGTAAATTGAAAAGGAGATGGAATATAGCTGCGCTCTTCCCCATGCACTCTCTCACCTGCACTCTCGCCATCGAATATGAATACGGGTATGAGGGCAATGCCTTGATCTTTTTCTTCAAGTGCGGCCAGCAGAGCGGGATTGTCGTGCAGCCGAAGGCCATGGCGGAACCACAATACATTTGCACCACGGGCAGCCATCTCGGACAGCAATCTGCAGGCAGGGGATTACTAGGAAACGCTCTCTCTCGTTCGCTTTAATAGCTGTTAGCTAGACTTGAGTTCCGTTTTTGCGATGCGCTCGCGCCGGTTGCTAATAGACGAATGTGTTGACGGACGCGGAGATTCCAGCCAGCCAGCAGCTTAACTGTGGCTTGGATCCAAACGAACTTGGAATCGGAGCGGGGACTCGCGCCCAAGTTACATTAATACTGAGGTAAGTTACACCCACTCTTGGAGTGTTTGATTTACAGATTGATAAAAACCTTGCATTCGTTTTTGAACTCAACTAGCTTCACCCAGCGACTGTCGTTGGAGTGAGCTCTCTGGCAAGCGTACACCCTTCTTTTAATATACTCTCCCCTAAAGTCGCGTCATCAATACAAAAGCTTAGTGTGTGTGTGGCGGCATTTAGCCAACGGTTCGTTGCATTGTGAGCACTGCACCGTACCGCCCCATAGAACAGCCAGCACCACACCCGGCTCAATCTCTGTAGCTGTCTCTGTCACTCGCTCAACGATTCTGCATTTCAGCGGCTACCCAGTGCACAATACACAACTGTTGCTTACGGGGGAACTTTTCTGTAACCCTGCGAAAGGGTATATACCGGAGTTTAATCAGGTTTTTGGCTGGAAAAGAGTATAAATAGTACAGGGATTAGAATACATCTTTCACTTTCATATCTTAACCTTAACCTATAAATAAATATTCATTACAGGGTATCCCAAGTACGCCTCTTGCAGCATTTTCTAATCCCTAAATTTACGTGTAAATCATTGCTATGGTAAGCCAAACCCAAACCCTCGTCTCCCCATAATGGACAAGCATCCACCCTACGCCGCTCCGGCCCTACCCCCTGCTGTGCACATGCATCACAAAAAACTTCGACTTTGCATGTTGCCCAGACAACGCCAGCAGCAGAAGCTGCGGCAGGGGCTGAAGCTGGTGCTGGGGCATGCAACGTGCGTAACGGGATGTCAACTGCAAAGCTCTGAGCCGCACGTGTACTGGCACACACACAACAGGGGGACGCAAGGAAGGGGTAACCTACGTACGTACATGCAACAGTCAAGCAAAGCCTTTCAGATGTTCCTCTGCTGCTGCTGCTGCTGCTGCTGCTGCTGCTGCTGATGATGATGATGTTGATGGGTTCTGTGCGGTTAAAAGGAGAGAGCAGGCGGACAGTGCCGTGCCACTGGAAACAGGACGAACAATAGCAGAGAAGGACTCGCACAAAACAATCTGCTCAGAACTGTGCTGGCTTTTATGAAACTAATTTGCGTCCATCGATTGGGAAAGAAGTCGTTGGGATTGCGACTGGCAAAAGGAAAGAAAAGAAATAAAATTGCCAGAGATTTCAGCTCCATTATTACTCATACGCCATGTGCGGGCAACGGAGATGTATGGTTTCCTGTTGTGGCAATTGCAGCCAACGGTTACCTTGGGGATAGTTTACATGGATACTCCAGTGTCTGCTTCTAGCACGATTTATCATTGTGGGGGCAACTGCCAACTGGCAACTGGCAGCTGGGTGTCTTGTGCCCCGCTCCCAGCTCAGGTGCACTGAGGCTACGGCTACGCTGGCTGCTTGTCTCATTCTTTCGCTCAACACGTCACCAAGGACTTGACGGGCATCCTTTGTGCAATCAGTGGAAGGAGCACACACATCCAACCTTGCGCTCTTCCGTTGCCTCCATTTGTGCTGTTGCTTCGTTACATGACATCATAGAGGCAGTGGCAGTGGCAGTGGCAGAGGCAACAAATTGCAGATTGCAGCTGGTTACGGGGAGAGGCAGAATATAGGGAAGGAATTCTTGTCTATATATTGTATTGTATTGTCTACTCGTTGCTGTTATATGAACCAAACAGCGGACAGGCAGTCCAGGTCAGGACAGCTCAGGCAATGTGTAACAGTTCATGTAGCAATAACCAACTCCTCTCTGCCAATCTGACTCACTGCCACTCTGCCTCCCTTCAAATGCGAGTTCAAACAATAAAATCTAGAGAACAATCCATCACAATTTTGTAAAGCGATTATGGGGCATTGCTTTTTAAGGGGTTTCGCCTATTCGTTGAGTGAATCATTCATGGAAATGTCACATTCAGAGAGGGTGAACATGTGCGCACAGAGACATAACTAAATGAATCAACTGAATCATTGTTAACATACTGGATTGACAGAAATCTGACAAATGCGAGAAATGTATGCATGTACAAACGAATTAAATATGCAAGGCAATAGAGAACTTTCATGTCGGTAAGGAGATTATGTAGTTCTCTGGCAAACAGACAGCTGCACAGATTTTCCAAGAATTTCACTTAATCACATAACTGTGTCCATGGACAGTGCGTAACAGAAATGACAGACTTTAGGGCTTTAAGGGGAGACTGAAATTAAGGGAAAGCTTCAACATTTACTCTCCGAAACAACCGGAAAACATATCCATTACTCACTCTGCTATCGCCTTTAAAGAACATTCAAGTGGGAGTGGGTGTATATAGATATTATGCATGGATACATGCCCATATGCAACTTGTGTTTTCTTTTACCAGAGCTCCGCATGCTCCTCATCCCACTTATCCCACTCTCTCTCGTTCGCTTTGTTTCCACCGATTGTTATTCTTTGACCCCTTTGTGTGAATGTGTTTGTTCTGCTGGCAGGACTTTACTGACTTTACTAATACAAGTTAAACAATCAAATATGTCAATCATACGCACCATTGGACCCTTTGTGTGGCACCACCAATACCAGCAACGGAACACGAGCCACAGCCAGGCATGGCCCTGGCCAGTGTCGGCGCCCATCCCATGGAAAGCCATTTGTCTGGGCAATAATATTTAATGTAATTTTATGTGCATATGTATGAATGTATGTTTGTAAGGGGGTAGGGTAGGGTCCTGGCACAGGACTTAACTACTCTATGGGGAAACTTTTGCTGGCTGGCATGCAGATTTAATATGCAAAAGGGTACCCACCTTTTTAACTTAAGTGAGATTTATATTACATTTCTTTTACCTGTTCGCTCAGGGGGAATGCCATCACACTTTTATTGCATATTTTTCTACAATATTTATTATGTTTTTAAAAAGAAAAGTAAATTCATTTTTGGCTACAACTTGAACACAATAAAGTAAAATAAAAGCTCAAAAATTAACATCATGTAATTGACAATAAAACCAGTTCAAAAGAAAATTAATTATTCTTACAAAGATCTTTTCATATTGTCAAAAGGATTTCCCCACCATCCATTCAAAGAGTTTTCTAATATTCCCCAAAATTAAGTATTAAAATTGATAAATCCGTCTCTTTAGTGGGCAAATGTAAATCGTAAATCGCTGATATAAAATATAATACTTAATACAATATTTATTTTCTAGCCATAACTAATAACTCCTCTATGCCTGCTACTCCGTTGTGTACCTGCCCAGAGCTTATTCAATGGAATATTTCACTTAACATGATTATAAATGAAACCCTCTCTGGCAGGGCAATCGGACTGCAGTCGGACATTGGATGAAAACTTAAATATGGCGACCCACTGGCTGCTCTGCTTTGTTATTTTTATGCGAAATTGTTGTAATTGGTTTTTCGTTCTTTGTTTTTGTTGTTTTGCCGCTGTCGCTGCCGCTGCCTCTGCCATAGCTTATTTTTAGTCAAAATGCCAGACGCGCACGCACACACACACTTCAGCAGACTAAACGGGGATAAATTCATACACACACACACACACACATATGTGTGTAAGTGACGGGTTGCGTGTCTGTCAACGTGTGAGTATCTGTATGGGTGTGAGTGTGTGTGGGGTTGGGGTATGTATGTATGGCGGCTGTCAACAACAGGCGCCGCTTGTCAGGGCAAACAAGTAGAACGCAGACCGACCAACCGCCGGATATGCAGGGTATAATTAATAAAGAGGGTAGGGGCAGTGCCTTCTATGAAGGTGAGGTCTCACCTTTTCATGCAACATACCCTGGGGCCCTGGCTAGGGACCGTCCTTGCAGCATTGCTTGATTTACCTGCGGGTATCACGGACAGACGTGGCATTCAGGCGAGGAAAAACTGCGCCCACAACGAGCCCCAGCCCCCCAGCCCCCCAACCCGCAACCCTTGCACCCAGAGCAGAGCTGGCTTACGTGTACAGTGAACCCTTGGTTTTGACTGACGTCAATTGGTAAAGTTAACCGAGTCCTATTATTGCCTTACGTCCTTTTCAAATTGTAAATATTGTTTCATGTCTGATTGATTGCACCCAACAGAGGCAGAGCCACAGCCACAGCCATGACTTTATGGCTCTCTCTCTCTCTTGTTATCCTTCTCTGTCCTTGTCCCACTCTGCCAGTGTCCTCCCTTTTTGGCATATATGCCGACAAATTAACTCGCATAAATATTTATGTAAAGCAATAGGGACTCGGCACTCGGACTACTGTGTACCCTGCTGAGAGGCCACCTTTGAAGTCAAGCCAGGAGCCAGAATTGGCAGCTGAAGCTGCTCCTGCTACTGCTCCTTCTCCCCTGCTCGAGGCTGCCAGAACAGTTGTTCCGCTTTATTGAACACTTGTTCAGTGGGGGGATCCGTTGGACTAATTAAATGGGGGATTCGATGTGTGAGTGCAAACATAGGCCAGTTCTTTGACTAACTTCAGGGAGTACAATGAGAGTCAGAGTCAAAATGGCATTAAGGAGTGGCGGAGTTAAACTTTAACAACTTTTGCAATAGCTGGAAGCGGTCACGAGGTCACGTTTATAGCCCCATTTCACGATGTGGCGTTAAGTCGCATTATCGCAACTGATGTCCTGTGCCGAGGTCCAGTCATTTGTCCGGCCAGCAGCTTATCTCAAAAGGAAGTGCGCACCCCTTTTGGTGGCCAAGGAAATTGGCTAATATCCTTGATATATTCGCAGTCATAAATCCTTAACAGGACTATTAATTTATGTGCGGAAGAGACACTGAAGCCAGAGCAAATGTCACGCTGTATGGCTGGAAGCAGAACGTTTTTTGGGGCAAAGAGCGCAGAGATTCCGCTTCAATGAATGATTCTGATGCTGCTCTTGGCAAAAAACACAAACTGCGAACAAATATTAATCATTCTTAATGA